TCTTCTTCTTTTCTCTCTCTTTTCTTCTCTTCTCTTCTGCTTTCTTTTCTCTTTCTTCTCTTTCTTCTCTTTTTATCTTTCTCTTCTCTTTCTTCTCTTTCCTCTGTTCTCTTTTCTCTTTTTCTTTCTTTTCTTTCTTTTCTTTTTTCTTTCTTTCTTTCTTTCTTTTCTCTTTTCTCTTTTTTCTTTCTTTTTTTCTCTTTTTCTTCTTTTTCTTTCTTTTTCTTTTTGTTCTTTCTTTCTTCTTTTTTTTTCCTTTTTTTCTTTTTCTCTTTTTTTTCTTTTCTCTTTTTCTTCTTTCCTCTCTTTTTCTCTTTTTCTTTTTTTCTTTTTCTTTTTCTCTTTTCCCGCCCACGCCGCCGCCCCCATCGCCCCCTCGACATTGTCTTACTGCTGCTTATTTATTTATTAGTTGTTTAACGAAGAAAACAGGAAAACCTGGGTGTGTGGGTTTTGGAGGGAGGGCAGTCGCATTGAGTGTTCAGATAGTGAGGGACCTATCTCGGCGTTTTGTCAATGGATGAAGGGAAACTGAATGACACAATTCCGTCGATTGGATCATTGACTCAGAAACTGATTATAGATTTTTTCTTGTTTGCACATTTAATCTTTTGAAATTGTGCAATTTGAAGGTGATCGTTGAATCAGTTTCATTATTATAAAATAAATATTATTTACATTTCTAATACTCTGTAAAGTCTAATTGAATTAAGAGTTATGCAATGGTAAATATTTTACTTGGGGTTTGAAATAATGCTTCGATCTTAATTTATTAAATACATTTGATAACATAATGAAAAAATATGCCTGCGTTTATCGTTGAAACGTGCTTTTTAACACAGGAGGAGTTTGCAGCAGGAGCTTTTTGTTTTAAATATTGGTTTCTGTCTGCGAAAATGGCAATGGAAAATGAGAGACTATGGGAAAGTCTCGACACACACACACACACCATGCCGAGAGTAGGCTAGAAGATGAGTTTTCACTGCCTTGAGACTCGAGAAAACAACAGCAACTACATTCGAAATCCAGGAACTTCAATCCCTTAATTATTCGAGGTACACCATTTTTTATCGAATTCTTCGAATGTAATTTTTTGAAAGTATTTCATTATCTCTTCTGGGTTTTTTTCATACATATTATTAGAATCCACCTTTATTACAAATTACATCTTTCCTTTTCTTATTTTTACATTTGTTAACGTAAATTAAATGTGTACAATCGAGACAATTCTTTCTGTAATATTAAGAGTATTTTTCATTTTTATAGTGTTGCCTAAATTTTATTATTATTATTATTATTATTATTATATGTAAAAAATAAGCATTTTGTAGCACAAACTAACTGCAATTTATTAATGTTCGCTTTGTCCTAATGCTTGGTGAGAAACATAATTACAATTAAAGTTATAATTAATTTCTAATTGTCTCTAAATTCTTGTTTTGTCCTTATTTTCTTAGGAATTATACTTACGCATCACTCCACCTAACTTAACTATATAAGGGACATAGTATTTTATGGGGATAATGAACGTCAGAATTGCTGTATTCGAGATGATATGTACTCCGATCACGTCACAATCCTAGTATGTCCAACCATTAAAAATGCACTAACCTACTTTCGAACGAAGATGCCAAGTATTTCATTGACCATTTATATCCTTAAATCCCTCTGATATCTTATCAGAAGTGGGAGTTTGCTCATTTAAAACCTTAAACCAGGAAAATAGTTCAGCTTCTTTAGTAAGTGCGTGTTTGAAGATGACTGCCTAAACCAGCAAGTATTCGGCACAGTCGTAGTGCACTGTTGTTCTTCATCGTAATTGAACTATTTCGGACAATCTGATTTAGTTGTAGGATTTTTTAATGTATAAAGTTTGATTTGTTTATCGGAAATGTTCCAATTGATTAATGTTTCCGCAACAAATGTGCAATACACTTTCTGTCGATGTTTTAGTTAGGAGGTACAAGAAATCAGTTGTTTCATCGGAATTTGGTGGATTTTGCACGTCTTTGTTAATAAAAACTGACTTTTTAAGAATTAAGGTAGAGTAAGAGAAAGTATTATGAAATTGTAAATGCGTTATTACTTGTATGCGTCAATTCACTTGGGTCGGAGTACTTCAAAGGAAAAAAGACGCAGCTTTTAAGATAAGATAATGTCCTATGTAATATTTATTTGCATATTTAAATTTTATCTTAAACGCCAGGTGTGTAGCAATGACTCTACCTATTTGGGATGCATTTTTCAATCATTCGGACTCCGACCCAATTATACTATCTATTCCTTTGAATTTTAGTACTTTTTAATGTGTTGTATATTACTTGTTCATTGAACGCTAGCAGGAACATAAGAACGCCGAAACGTGTTTTTCAACAGCCGCATTTGTCGTGTTACACCAATGATAATTATTGTTGATTTACGGATATTGTAATAATTTCTGAAAAATAATGTTTATTAAGGAATGATGTTCTGTTCCCAAAGTATAATAAGTAAATCACAAAAACCTTCAAGACACGCTCATACTTACACAGAGCCGATTTTGTAGAATTTAACGTTTTCTTGGAGGATTAAACGTGCTCAAAATATGCGAAATGGTCAATTTGTGAACAGGAAACTTTCGGAAACAATTATTTTACAAATCGCCCTGAACTATTCAGAATCGCAAGTTACTCCGATTCGGTCAGGGTCATAACAGTTGCTGCATTATCATATTCCATAGAGATCTTGCCAGAAGTGGTCTGTTCATGAATTTGTACCTCCCGCATGTGAATTACTTCCTCATTTAGGTCATTCATTCGGCCCACGAAAACTTGTTTGTCGAACCAAAAGTCCTTCAGTTGTGCCAGTCGTTGGGATGTGGCGGATAAGTTTTGATACTTGCGTAATGAGTTGTAGAGGCGTAGAATCTCGTAAATGCAACATTGAAACCCTTCTTACGATTTTTTGGTAAATAAAATGAGAAAAAGCATCTGAAATTAGTCAAGACCCCCATCTTGTGTCTATGGGAAAGGAACTTGAGTACTGGTAGCTCACACTTTTCACCACAACACGTTGCAGAAATCAAATATATTTTAAATCAATAATGTCCCTATTTTAGGTGTACAAAATGAGAAAATTGGACGTTGGAAATGAAGTAGCATGATTCTACTAATATGGTTAATATACGCGAAGACTACCGAGAAAAGTAACGACGTTGTTGAATATCACGAACTTATGAGAAGCCGAAATAGTGTGGCATACTAATATTCATTTATGAACAATAAAAAATGAATAAGTGGTTTGCTTCAGCGCTCTGGAGTGGCACATCGATTTGTGTTTGCAAATAAATAGCATAAAACACAAATTGAAATTGGTGTCCATATCTTCCTCCCAATGTAGTGATCCCAGGTTCTGGCTATACTGGAGGATTGGAAACACCCAGACAGTTTGACACGTATACTGCAATCTATTTTCCCACAAGCGGAGATTCTAAACACATTCAAAACTTTGCATTGTTTTGAGGTAACACATATCATCATCATAGTGTCGTACTCAGGTTCCTCATGACAACACTGAAACTCGAAATCGTACTCTTCTGCAACCGGATACATATTGACTTTCCGGGAGACGCTGCGTTCTAAGTTGGCATTTCGATCGTCATATTGCACACTTCCTCCATTTCGCCCTGAGGAAAGTCGCAGTTAGTCCGAAGAAAAGTTGACAACCGTGCCTAGAACGCGGTGACTCCAGGACAGCCAAGAATCTAGTTTATCTCGGAAATAAATCGTCGTATCCATCATCAGTTTTGTTTATCGTGGTTTCCTCCTGGTTCCTGGTCCGCGGGGAGAGTACGCGAAAGGGGCGGAGCGGAGCGGGACGGGGCGGGGAGGGGCGGAGGGCGAGAGCGTGGGCGAGATTCGCTCGGGCGGGGCACCGAATTCATGTGCTGCCGGAACCGTAGCGAAGGATCAGAGAACCGGTCTTCTGGAGGGAATTGTACGCGCAACGCGAACACCGGCTGAGTTGAGCTCCGCGCCAGCACTGCGGCCACCTCTGCAGTGCCTCTGGCCGGCAGCTCCTAGGTTTGGAGTCACCACATTGGCGGGTTTTCAACGCTGGCTGGAGAGCTAGTGACTGCCTATAGGAGAATCCTTCCGACTGCCTGCTCTGATCGGTAGTTTTTTGTTTTCTCCCATCAATACCAAGCGAATACAGTACCTTAAAAAAATATCACGGACCACGTGCGATCTTTCCTTCCTCTTCCTGTCTTATCCATCTTATCCCCCCTTACACACACACACACACACACATTTATGTGCATTACACTACCACGGGAGAACAGCCGAGAGCTTGGAGTTTTTCCCGGCTGGGAGGGGGGTGCCCCCGCTGGTGGGAGATACCTGATGTGGGAAACCCCGTTACCCGACCGTAGGTCGGTGCCGGTTCTCGCCATCCAGTGGAGGAAGATCGTCATCTCTCGCAATACAAACATGCACTACACTTACGGGACTAACGACTATTGCAGTTGACGTACTTTAAAACAAATCAATCAATTCAATGCATTCCAATAATTGATATATTTTCTTTCTGTTGCAGGTAAGGCCAAAAACAGAATAGCTGTGGCTTCTACCGGTGACCATGGCGACCAGAACTCACGGTAATTTAAATTTATGATTACGGAATGGAAGGTTAATATTTTTCAATTTTAATAATTGCGGTGAACGCGCTCCACCGGAAGAAGGCGAAATATACAGTTGTGTGTATTTTATTATATTATTACGATGTTTTAAATTTTAATGTCATTTGGCCGATTAACAGCAAATGGCACACTAAACTTGTTATTTGCGTTGTGGGCCCGTGTTTTTTAATTCTTTTCGTAATACCATATTTTAATAAGAAAATAACATAATGTGAACAAGAATCGTATAAACAAGATCATATACTCGTACCCCATGTTTCACTACAACTCGTTTGTTTCAATTGTTCTCTGAGAAATCGATAACGTAAACAGGCCTATAACAGTGATTTTTCCTCTGTGCCGTTGCGTTAAGTCAATAGGGAGTTTTAGCGCCACGCGTAAGGTGGCGGCGTTATGCACTAGCAGTCACGTGACAGACCTTGAAGTCATAACGTTTTACCTTAGGCCTAAAGAACGCCCTTATACCTTCATAAATAGTGCACGCCTGTGGAAGTCTCTACGGGCACCTTACAAGCGGCAAAATGGCCGCCTAAAAACAGGAAAGGTTGATTTTTTCCTACTCTAATAAACCAATTCTCGTATGTAAGGCAGTTACAATTACTCCTTATCAACTCCACAACGCTGGCAAAAATTAACGGGATATGTTGGAGAGGTGACAGGAAAGAAATTCGCGAAAAAGTTCAAATCATATCTTCGTGATATGATTTATTGTTATGTCTTATGCTCATAACGAACGCTTTTTTAAGGTGCTTCCTACATTTTCAAGAAAAGCAGATTCAAAATCTAAAACTCCATGCACAATGTGTATTTGCCTACACTCTTTGATATATTATGCAATTTCTCTGTTCAACGCTTGAAATGCTTCCTTTGTTATAATGCATAACGCAATGTAGCAATTGCTAAAACTCTTATGAACATTGTTCATTACGACCTTATGAAGGCGTTTGTCATGTGATCAATAGAATTTAAGGATACCTCCGTACGCATGGCGCGAAAACTCCCTAATAATAACCGTGCAGTATTACGAGAACTGTTCCGAAGCGGAGACGCACACATCCAGCGGAGCGTGTCTCGCTCGCACTGACTTCGCAACGGGTGGGAGGGAACGGAATGCAGAGAGCGAGCGAGCGAGTGTCTCGTGTAAATCACTCGCTGCTCACACACTGACGTCGCCCCGTTACCGCGCGCAGATTTTCTGCGCCAGGCGCAGGGCGCCACTGCTGGTAACGGTGAGGAATGCAAATCCTGGCGTGGAGCGTGTGATGGACGGTGCGCTCGTGTCGTGCCGGCTGTGTCTGCGAATCAGAGATGCTGGAGATATATACTTAAAGTTGAGACGCCAATAAAACAGCTATGACACGCTCGAGGTGTGGTTTATAGGTTGCTTTTCTATGGCGGCAGTGCTGCCGAAGGTAGCTCGACGGTAGCTTCACGGGTAGCCGAAGGTAGCTTCACGGGTTGGATAAGTGTGAAGAAGATAATTTGTAAAAGCTATTAACCAGAGACGCAAAACCATACAAATATTAATATATTAGCAAGCACTTTGCCTTCGGAAAGTGTGAAAATTCATGAAAAAAATGTATTGTTTAACTCGGATCATGTGGCAACATGGCGTGAATTACAACATTCTAGTTGAAACTTTCGTACAAAATATTTGTATTCTTATACACAGACTTGCACTGGCGATAGTGGCAATGCGATAAAAAAAAACGATTTTGCGGAAGTAAATGTATGTTATGATAATCAATCTTCAACTGCTGAAAACATTATTAACACGCACCACTTCCTACTTGGGCGACCCTAGCGGATAGGCCATTACACAAACTTGCCCACTCTGGCCACAGGACGTCAGCACCCGGTCGATCCATTCGGAATATTTGAGTTAGTTATACCGCATTCGCGATAGTTCGTTAAACGTTCTCCCTATTCCTTGCCCCTGATTCTTGCAACCGCCATCGTTATTCATACCATACCGTCGTAATCATCTATCCTTCAAATCGTTAATCCGCCCAGGTACAGACCCAAGTTATGGCTGCATAATCAAGAATACAAAAAACTAACCACTTCCTACTAGAATACCAGATGTGAAGTCAAGGGGGAGGCGCTTGAACAGAATACCAGGTGTAAATTCGTTTCGCTGACACCTGGAGCTGGGTGCAGCGTGATGTGGCGCCTGGAACCAACATCTGCATGCATATCCGCGCGGGAGTGTGTGTGTACGTGTGCGTGAGCATGTGGTGTGTGTGTGTGTAGCGGGACCGCATGCGACCTCGCCGACAGGCAGCGCGTCGGGTAGTCCCACTGCTCCCCCGACTCATCTGTGCCGCGTCCCCTACCGAAGAAAGAACATTTTTTGTCAAGTTGGCAGCGTGCTAATCGTACTGACAAGGACATCACGTGGGATTGATTGCAAATCCGCAACTGAAGCTACAAAGACCTGAACGGATCGATGATTCTGGACGCTTCAATGGCTGTGGACATTTGCCCCGTTAGTGTAGAGATATTTTATGCCTGATGGTGGCGGTGTTTGTCCCCCTCTGGATAGTGAAATCCGCCTCCCGATCTGAACCTTGTCGCCTCGCGGGGACATTTCCCTCTCGTAGGATCTCCCCCGCTGGGGCAAGGTCTAAGGTCCCGACATGTGCGTACGAGGATAGAATGGGGACAAGGAAGAGGAAGGAAAGATCGCGCGCAGTCCGTGGCCCGTTTGTGAGGGTACTGCCCCGGCATTCGCTGGGAATTGGTCGGAGAAACCACGAAGAACTAGTGATCAGAGCAGCCGGCCGGTTAAATTTTACTTCCGCCAGCGGACTGGTGACTGGTTACTGGTGGTCAGCTGACGCATACTTGGCGTTGCTGACGATTCCAACCCTACACCTATTGGTCAGATTCGCTGCAGTCACTGGCTCTGAGATAAACAACCGATTGAAGTCCTGGGGACTCATAGGTTTTAGTCCCTCTATTTATGTACTATCGTGATTCGTTTAATAGCATGGATCGAAGCTGATCTCTGCCTGATTGGGTATACTTTCGGCCTGCTGCTCTGATGGGGTTTTCGGGTTTTCCTCTGATCACTTCCCGGATCACTTTCAAAGAACCCGAGGTATTACCCACACTCCTTCTTCGACCATTCTGTTCTCAGTCTCTTTCGTAGGGCCTAAAAATGGGCTGACCCACTTTCCTGGCCTTTCTTGAAATCGATTTGGCATGCAAAACACAGTAATATAGGGCTATGAACCGAAGTGGGTTGTAGCGCCATCGGAAAGTACGAAGGAAGTACTTGAGGTGTTACGAAGCATTTAGAATATTATGTGTTGCATCCTCAGAATTATAGTTTTTAGAGAACATTTTTCTGTTTCTCAAAATTGTGAGCAATCCTCTATCAAGTCTGGTAACAATTGTGAATAGTATTCCTTTCTGTACGTGCGAGTCTGAATTTTTGTGCAGTATATACGTAGATAATGTTGATCAAATTGAAGGAACTGTAGACCACAACGTTTCTCTGGATTTGGGTTCCTTGATACCAGATGCGTAAAATGTTGCAGTACGTATAAAAACGCAATTTGTTTCTTTTTTTAATCATTGATTCATATATTTCGCTCAAACAGCTTCATCTCAGCTAGCTTGGACTACCGCCGTTCGCCACTAAAGGCAGTAGAAATACATGCACAAGGCACAAGTTTAACATGCACGAGGCTTCCTAACGTTGCGCTACATTACAACGATTTTACCGGAGCCTTTACGGGCCTACAGTTCGTGCTCAGATTATCGATTCTAGTCTGCCATAAATACCCTGCACCCTACGTTACTCATCGCTGGCATTGTAGTTGAGAATTTTACAAAACACCCTGAGCCTAATTCGGCTAGCAGTATAAATAAAGTCTACAGAATGCATCCAAACAAACGGCAAAATTTAGTGATTGGACTCCTGATATACGAGTGGTATGTATAACAAAAGAGGTTGTAACAGAATGAGACCGGAAATGCATAGTCGCGACCGGAAATGCATTGTCTGGCCGTGCATTTTACCACTGGGGGCACGTAGAAACAATGCTTGTGTCGGTTTGCAACATAACTCTCTTAGATAGCATGCAGGATAATGGAATCTTCTTGGCTTCAATTGTCCATTTCCCCCTAGAGATGGGGATTATGGTCATCCGTTTGGAGGTTAGTTTTGTTGGAGTTGTTGGGAGGGATTTGGGATTGGTGGGGTTTACAGTAAAACTGTCGTCATGTTTTCTATGTTCTTCCTAGGCCATGTCCTGTAGCTTTGTCTGTTGTAATCGACTTCTAATGTTCCTGACCCATTTCCCCGTTTCCGCATTTGGAACCTTCTGACTCACTTCCCAAGACATTAAACAATATTTGACATCTTGTTTGTCCCTAAACGTTAAGACTTTTGGAAGCTTTTGGGAAACCATTCGACCCAAAAGACCATTTCGTAGCTTATTTAAATCACTTCCCAAGACATTAAATAGTATGAGATTGAGTTCACCCCCTGAGTGAAAGAAGTCAGAGGTCATTTCGTCCTTTTCATCTGATACCTCAATGCTACGCTCCCTTCGAATTAGGCGTATTCTCTGTAATAGTGGTTCAATGGTGAGAGTTTCTAACACCTAATGTAACTTAAAGATACAAAAAATGCTTAATTATACCCTGGAGCGCGCAGCGAATTGGCATGCACTAAACAAGCATACGTTCAGACTATTTTACTATTACACACATTTGGATCCAGGCCATCATAACCTTCATTTCTCCAATTGGAGAAATTGGAGAATTGGTCTGGGCGTCGCATGTTGAAGAAAGGAAAAGAAGTGTTAAACGGGTTGGGGATTCAGGCATTTATTGAAAGTGATGGAACGAAAAATGATCTGGATTGGTAAAAATTAAGTTCTAGAAGAAGAAAGAGAATATAAATAGTGGATGATCTACTGATATGTAGTGTAGAAAGAAATTAA